TTAAAGCAAATCATTAAAATGTTTTGGATCGGGGTGTTTAATATTTAATTTGGGGAATACACTCTCCATTAATACGCGAAAATCGCTAGAGACATGAGTGAAAAATGACTCATGGCGAAATTATAAATGAGCGTGCAACTGAAGCTCAAATCGAAATCGAAATTCATTTTTCAAATCGGGCACACAAATTAGCATTTGCCATTCATTTTTTTGTACAGTTTTTCCCGGGAATAACAAATGAAAATGCTCGTTTCTGCTGGCCCGCTTGTTCCCAAAACAATTAAAAATGGCAGCCAGGAGCAGGAGGCCGCCCTGGGGTGCCTGGAGATGGGCCTGTGTCTCGTCCATCATGTGAAATGCACTTTAGTGAAAATGAAAAAAAGCTTGGGCATGGACGGCACCGGAAGCCCACCGGATCTCAAGCCCAAGAGAAAGCAGAGAGATGGAGATAGAGAAAGAGGGAGAGAGAGAGAGAGAGAGAGAGAGGACTGTGAATCACAGTTCATTAATTTCAAATGGCCTCATGCTGGTGTCAGCCGGGAAGGCAGGCGGGTCCAGGTGTTGGCTTGAAAATGCATCTAGCGGGCCAGCCTCATCCAGGGTCGGAAAATTGCCCTGGCCAACTGACAAATGAAACTTGTTTGCACCTCCGGCCGGCCCGAAAGCCCCAAAGCTCCGCCAAGTGGGAGTACTCGTACCACACCAGCCCCAACAGCAACACGAACAGAACTGCGAGTGGGCCTCCAACTAATGGTGATAGAACAGCTTCAGAGCAGAGCTCCGCCAGCCTCTTGAATATTTCAAAATGGCGGCCCTGTCATTAGCCGAAGAATGATGAACATTGCCTCGGAGAGTGTCCGGCCTGAGTCGGCGTTGGAATGAATTGGAAAATGTGCAGGGCCGAAAGAAGTCTGATTCTGATTCAAAAAGAAACCAAGCATTGAAGTGAAGTTGATTTGAACATTTGTCAAGGATATCCTTAAAGAAATCCATACTAATGAAGGGCAAAGTAAATTTGATGTTATCTTATGAATGGGACTATCATGGACTCTCCAATTTAGAATTAATTAATAATGTATGGTAAACAAATTTAAAATGAATGATACAAACCTAAAATAAGCTACAAAACGAACTTCCTTATAAGATAATAATCATATTAAATATTTATGGACATGTATCCTTACTAGTTATGAGACATCCGCACATGGGAAATGAGATGCCCTCACGCTTCCTCCCGCAATACCGACAGACGGCCATAAAGTGAAGTGCCATTAGGTCCGTCCAACACCAAACAGGCATCAGGCCATGGTCAACGGCAAATCATTTACACAAATCAAGCGAAAGCCCCGGCAATCAGGGCCGAGTGACAAAGCCTGATGTATGTGTAAGCGAAGTTGTCGTCGTAGCATCAACGCCACCACCACCACCCCCACGCTCCTCATCAGTCAGGCACTCTCATTGGCCAGCCTCCATTACACCCACGCTCCTACCACGTTGTCATCGCCGTCCAATTGCTCAGTTAATGGATCGCTGAGGCCATAAAAGTGTGCCAGCTTGGTAACTCGAAATCGCACTCCAAACCGAATCCCAATCCGAATCTGAAACTGAAGCACAGCTCGAACGCGGTGGCAATTAAAAACTCAACCACAAAACCGTTGTTAATGACGAAAACGAGGCGAGGACGAGGACGAGGATGAGAAGGAGAATGAGAATGAGAACGGGGAATGATCCGAAGTCTAAAGCTGACCACGTGTGACAAATTGACGCTTTTTAATTTTGCCCTGCACCCACACCACACTCGAAACGAAAGCGCCACACGGATCCAGTCCGATGCCACCCCCCAGGAGCCCCAGCCTCTCCTTGTCGCCTGATTGATGACATCGTTGCGGTTGTTCTTGTTGGAGGCGGAGGCTGTTGCTGTTGTTCCCGAGATGCCTTAAAAAGGTGTTTTCATTTTGCATGCAAAAACATCGCCCTGATTAATTGCCTCGCACACTCAAACGGGGGGAGGGGGGCCAGTGGCACCTTGGAGAGTGGAGAGTGGACGGACTCTGACTCTGACTCTGACTCTACTTTATTTAACAAATGATGTGCATGTCTCAAGTGGCGATAAGTAGCCAGCGAAATGCAGTCGGAGCTCATAATAGAGTTGAAGTTGAGCCCAGAGCCAGGTCCCGAGCCAAGTCTGGACCCAGCCGGAGTCCGATGCCAGGCAACCAAATCAAAATGTTAATGACACTCTCAATACAGTTATCACGGAAAGACCTGGTGAGGTCTGGCGAGGACTGGGCCTGTAGCCACTTGACCGAGCCTTTTAACATTTTTGCCATTCCTATCGGGACTGTCGTCCTCCGCGTCCTCCTCGCCTTGCTGTTGTCGTCCGTCGTCGGCATCGACGACGCTGTTAAGTTGTCATTTCCATTATGACCATGTCGCTTTAGCATTTAACAAATAGTTGAGACATTTACAAGCGGCGATAAGAGAGACGGAGACGGACCGGAGAGGAAGGCACTCCGAATGCTCGACGATTTGTGTTAATGTATTTATACGCGAGCTTGGCCAGCGGCTAATTGATGTCGCCTCTAAATGGGAAAGCGGCAGGCCAGCAAAGTTTAATATTCATATGGCCAGCGCTAGCCTGTCATACATTAATCAAAGACAGCGTCCATAAAACCTCATAAATATATGTGACTATGAATCGAAGCCCACACAGCCCCACATCTAGAAGAGGGAGAGACAGCCATAATTGCCTAGCACTTTTGACATGCCAACATGATAATATGACAAGACAAGTCAACGGGGCATCAAGAAACTTATCAGCCCGGCAACAAAGAACTCCAGGCCGGATGTGGATGCGCTCGGCTGGCGATGGCCGCCACGTCCACGTCCACGTCCACGCCCAGACCTATTACACCGCCCTTTGTCTCTAAGTGAGTGTGTTGACAAGACGCCAAGCCGGGGACCTGGGAATGAAAGCCAAGAAAAATTATAAAACGATAAGGCCAGGCAACAAAGTCGTGAGTCAAGCAACAAAAACATATCGAAAACATAAATATGCATATCGAAAATGGCTTAGACAATTTCAATTTGTCAAGAGATATGATAGAGAACGATCACACAGTGAGACGGTTTCGACAACACCCTCGTTGGTGGGCGTTTCCATTGTGCTACCAAAGAGCCAGCGGATCAATTTGAAATCGATTTGTCATTGAGAAGGAATCAAACATATGGCCGGGCAATGGTTCCTTCCCGACTCTCGAAACTGCTCTTTATTATGCTCGTAAATCATTCTCGATGATCATTTCCTTGAACCGCGATCTACAGAATGCCAATCAGTAAAAACACTTCCGATGAGTTCTCCATCGATCCATCGATTACAGACCATTTACTGCAGTTCTTCAACTTCTTCAGCTTAAACGTGTTGCAACAGCACGTCTGGAGTACACCTCTACGTAATTTTCGCAAAACGTTTTGTTTGAAATTGGAATTGGTTTTGTTTCGCAAGACAATTTAACCGCAATTCGACTAAAACGATAGGCGGACCATTTATAAAAGCCCAAACACAGAGTTAAGCTAAAACCAAACCCAAAGTGAAACTCTGAGAACGGATTTGAGTGCGATTTAGCATACCCTACAAAGAACGAACTACAAAATTGGACACGGCGCATCAGGCAAGCACGTTTCGTATTAAGGAAATCGTCGGGACCGTAAAGACTCGGGCCAGATCCCAGCCAACTGAACCAGCAATTGGCTTGGACTCTGGCTTGGCAATGGCGATGGCCACTATGAAAATGATGGCCAAGTCAGTCAAAAGAGAGAGAGAGAGAGAGAGCGAGAGACACAGTCAGGGGAATGGCATGGAAATCGCATTCACATTCACATTCACAGCGAATCAATTTCAAATAGCCATCCATCATTTTGATCATCAACAAGTCAACGTCATCATCAGCTCATCTCAGCTCTGCCTCAGCCTCAGCCTCAGCATCGGGCCAGGCCAGGAATTGCTGATTGCCGCAAAATCATTTTTGCATTTCGACTGGCAGACTGGCAACAAAAACTCTTTGAGCTGATGTTGATGAAAACGATTTTAAATTATTTTATTGCAATTGCAAAATTGTACTGTACTGCTTGACTGGTTCGCTTTTCCGTCTGGTTGGCTGCCTCTGGCTTTCGGTCCATGGCCCGGTCCCAGTCCCCGGACCTGGCTTATGGCCGCATGGCTATATCAATTTTTTTCGCTTTTTCTGTTTTATTGCAACTCCATTAAAATTGAATTGAGTTTTCGTTGTTGCTTTTGCTATTGCTGTTGTGCCTGTTATTGTTGAAAATATAATAATGGTTATTACGCTGAAACGATTGTTGTTAAATTAAAAATTATTGATTATGCCGCACACTGCAGTGGAAAAATGTTGGTAGAAACCCCATGCGGGGAATTTGAATATGCTTTACCGTCACTGTACGTTCGTTTTTATGGATAACACGAAATCAAGTAATTGGGTTCTCTTAACGTACATATTTTACAACCAACTTGGCCTTAATTAAGCCTGCATTTGAAAGGTACTATGCGGTTCCGGTAACTTAGTTCGGCAATTTTTAAGGGCAAATTAAAAAGGTACGATATTCATACATGTATATGCATGTATGTTAATTTTGTTGGCTAATTCTACATTTATATATTCAATTATATTTTATTCAAAATCCAAACCGTCATATTTCAGTAATGCACAACGTTGAACAGTGTTCAACTGAAATTATTTCCATTTCTGTCTGGAGCTCAAGAACCAGCACTATCTGTTGCCAGTCCCCCAACAACAATGTGAAAAGGAGAAGTCTTCGCTCTTCGACAGCATCAACAAGATGGTAAAAAGAGGCTCCAGCTCGAGAGTCTAACAATGTCGCGACGCTTACCCCCCAATCCGGCCGGAATCATTGGCGCGGCCAACATCAGTTCAACTACAGTTTGTATATGGAAAACTTGTTCAATTACCTTTTGCGTTTTATGACACGATTGAAAGACGATAATATAATTTACATAATAATTTGAAACAATTTGAAACACATATACAAAGTAAAAACGATCAAATTTTCTGGAAAGTCTTAACCCTAATCTTGTCTTTGATTTACAACTATTTGCTAAACTTACAATTACTTTGAACGTGAACACATGTATGGCCCGAATATCGTGTTGTGATCTGATTGGACTGGACTGATCTTTAATTTAAAAAGATTACATCGTCATCATCATCGCTGGAACTGGCTATTGTGTGCACACGACGACGCTTGTTGGAAGGAGCTGCTGGCAGTTCCACTCCAAGTCGACGCTGTCTACGTCGTTCTTTTAGAATACGTTCGGCCCGCTCCAGCGGGCACTCGGAAACATCATGCTTCTCGTGTGCAAAACTCTCGTCGGCAACAACAAAGGAAGAGGGCATATACTGGGAAGCTTCTGCCTCGACAGCCTGTGAGAAGATGAGCGACTCATCGTGATATACACGGCGAGCGGGAATCTTAAAGGCACCAGGACGTTGAACGGGACTCCTGCAAAAGTTATATCGTATAAAACGTAATCTCATCAAAGTATTCTTTACTTACCTGATACCCTGCAGGTACATGGCATGATCAGTGGTGTCATTGTGGTCCTCATCATCGCTAGAAACTATCACAGAATCCTTTAGATACGCGCCAATGGTGTGCTCTGCCTCCTCTTCGTGATCAGATCCGCTTTTCTCTGCTTCATCGACAATGAAGGAGTTAAATCTACGGCGTTTCTGGCGTGGCCTGGTCGGGGGAGTTGGTGTTTCCGGCTGAAAGGCGGAGAAAGAGGAGGTTAATTTATAGTATTGTAAGAAGTGTGCGATTAAATACCATTTGAGTGGCAGGAATTTGTTCGCCCTCATCGGAATCGCAATCAACCTGGGTGACCGGCACCGGCTGGATTGATTTCTGTTGTTCTTCTTCATCGGAACTGATAATGATCTTCCGCTTCGATGGTCTCCGTATGATAGGCGAATCCTCTTCAATGACCACTGTACGAGTTTTTGATGTAGACGCATTCATTGAAGTCAGCCGATGCAAGGACTCCGCCGCTTTGGCCATACGCCCGCACCCACGCATACGATTCAGGTACAGATCGAAAATGCTGGGTGACTTATCTGGGACACACGGAGTAGTCCGCTTTCGATGTTCTGGCGACTGGAGGTTATCCGGAAGATGCAGAGCTTTTGAGGGGGGAGTGGGAACAATTTGTGCAGTTGAGGTGGTTTTGGCCGCTAATTTGGCGGCTAGACTTTTGGCCTGTGGTTTGCATGGTGACACAGAGTCGCAATTAAAGATGTCTGGTGAAATATTACGTGGAGTAGAGCAGGATTGGAACAAATCAGGTATGTTCTCTTTCATAGCATCACTTGGCAAGAGCGTGTCCCGCTTCTGCTGGCTCATCAGCACCACCTCCTCAGCCATTGGTTCCAGGAAATCATTCAAATCGATTCCCAAGTCATCTGGAGTTGCATCCACAGTAGCAACTGCTTTTATAGCGGGCGTCACGTTTAATAATGGGATCACATGTGGGTCTGGTCTTACGTTTGCCTCCGATTCCAGATCTGGCAGTGGACTTTGAGTGGGTTCTGCAAATGCTTCCGCTTCTGTTTTTTCAGTCTTCAGACCTGGGGCCGTTTCACTCATCAAGCAATTTAATCGATCCAAGTTATCCCCCAGATCGCTTGCCTCCACCCGTGAATCGCACTCGTCTTCCTCCTGGAGTACTTCGGACTTTAGTCGGCTCTCCGGCTTTACTCTAAGTGGCGTTGATCTATGCGGCACCGCTTCTGTGGCGGCAAAGTCCAGCCATTGGCTTTGATACATGGAATTGCATTCTGTTTCAACCTTTTGCTCCCATTCATCATCCGACCAGGTGACTTCCTCGCCACCAAGTTGCTCGTGAACTGTCGCCTCCAGATTTCGCAACTCCAGCTTATCCAGGAGCTGCTGCTTCAGCTCGAAATTGTCTGAATTCAGGCCTTGCTCATCTAGACCTTCGAAGATCCTATCACAGGTGGCTCTAAATGCTTTTTCTGTCTCCTCATCCAGTGGACTCTCCAGATCTTTGAGGGTAATCTCTGCCAGAGATGGCTCCGACTCTAAAAGTTCCTCTAGTTTCTCGGGCCCATCGCATATTTCCAAAAGCAGCTTGTAGTTATTTCTGGTTCGTTGCTGCCTGCTATTCAAACGTTCCTCGGGAATGTTCATCTGGTTTTGAAGTACCATCTTTGAATGGGTTTCCTGTACGAAAATGGGATTACTGCGCAGCAGATGGAGCTTAAGCTGCCGGGGCAGTTCCTTGTCTTGCAGATGGCTGATTAGGTCTTGGGAGGCCGTGATAATCGGCTTGTTCGATTGCAATATACGTGTTAGCTTTCGCAGGCGTTGAATCTCCTCCTGACTGTTGCTCAACTTGGTTGCCTGGGTGTCCAGGAGGAAGTTCTTAACGTTTACACTGTTCCGAGTCGCTTGGTCCTGGATCATCTGCTGGGAAGCTTCACTCATCTGATAAGGTTGGAGTCCCTGCAGTATTCCCTGACTCTCCGAAGGATGGCTACTTTGCTTGTAGAACTTGTGGAGGGTTACATTCGTCTCTTTTCGTTTTTTCGGTTCCTTTGCCTTTGCGGAGGGTTTCAGTTTCGGCTTATCCTCAATGGCAGCTGCTTCCATGTGCTTCTCTTCGCACTTCGGTTGAAACTGAGATGGCACCATTCGGGGATTGTTCGCATATAGCGACATTCGCACCACGGATGAGTTGAGCAGTTTCTTGTTTGTCTGATCCTTGTTAGCCAGCACATCCTTGAGCACTTGGTGCTCTCGTCCCTCGGTGACGAGCATCACAACCTCACCGTTCTTCTTCCTTCCGGTTCGGCCTATGCGTTGCACGAAACGCGTGGGATTCGAACTGCAAATGTCGAAGCATACAATCATTTCCACTTCGCCCACATCAATGCCCTCCTCGCCAATGGAGGTGGCCACGAGGACGTTGCTGGTGCCGCTTCGAAAATCAGCCATGATCTGGATTTGCTGCTTCTGCGTCAGGGCATAGCTAGCTCCCGCGGTGCTTCCTTGTCCAACAAAGCACCGGGCACGCAGCAGCGGTCTGTGCTGGAGGAGTAGTCGATGAATCAGCATCACAGACTCACGGTACTCGCAGAATACAATGGCACGGGACTCGGCATTCGACTGAAACATGTGAAAAGTAATCCATAAGTGGAGATCCGACTGTAGATTTAAAAACCTGTCTTACCGCAAAGTGCTCGAGCAGCACCAGGCGCAGTTTTTCATACTTGGCATGGCCAAAGTCCAGATCAGCAGGCATCGCAGGCACTTCACCGTTCGTCATAGTATGCGTGGTGAAATCTAGGGGATTAGCACCCAAATTCAGACGCACCTGATCCACCAAATTTCTTAGGTCTCCGTCTCGGGCCAGGACAAACTTTTCACGTCCCTCCTCATCCGCATCGAAGTTATTCACGAACACACGCAGTCCGTGCCGCTCCATCAGCTCCAGGGAGTGATATAGACTAATGCACACGGAAAAGTTTCCAGCAATGATGTTGTGCTCTGGATGTCGCTGCCCCTTGGCCGAGCGTTCGTTGAACGTTTTCTGATCGTAGAGCAAATTGTTCTTGCTGATGTTGCCCTTGGTCCCCTTCAGAACGTCCGCAGCAATGAGCTGTCGCAGATACGGTTCGATAATCTGAAGCAAACGCTCGCGCGTCTCCTTTATCCTATCCTTGAGGGGCACCACAATCGTTCGTATAATGCGCCTGTGTATGTAGGGTTGGACATCAATTGAGTTGTCCCAGCGAACTTGAAGGTTGGCAATGTACAGGTTCTGGCAGACAGTGGCCACGTCCTCCATCGTTCGTCCTGGCGTAGCGGACAAGGCTAGCATGCGGAAGTTCGGATTGTGGGCCATCATGCAATCGGCCACTTGGGTGAAGGCGTAGCGGCCCTTGGCCCGATGCGCCTCATCCACCACCAGGAGTTTGATGGCGCCAAATGGAAAATAAGCTCCGTCGTCCGTCTCCAGCATATCGGAGTGAACCACCTGTGGTGTGGCGAAGAAAACACGCTTGCTGGCCCACAGTTGAGCACGCTTCGGACGCGCCAGTTGTCCTGACGAAACCAAAGACACTTCCTTACTCTTTGCACACTATATAGTGACGTTGCTCAACATACCCGTCAGCTGCACGGTGTCGGAACCCGGGAAGGGCATGATCTTCTGACAGGCGGCAATCTGCTGCGCGACGAGTGGCCGCGTTGGGGCCATGAAGATGATCTTTCCCTGAGGATACCATCGATAGAAGTTGTACATAACCACGGCTGCGATGAACGTCTTCCCCAGACCCGTCGGCAGAACCACCAAAGTGTTTTTATAGAGTGCCGACTGGACGATGTTTTGCTGATACGATCGCAGGGGAAGATTGTTCGGATAGATCCAATTGTGGCCGGTGGCCATGTCGAAGCCGTGGCACTCATCCTCTGCATGGACTGCAGGTTCGTCGGTCTTCGATCCAGATTGATCCTGCTTAATGTACGAAAATTCTGATTAATCTCCAGCTGATCGCATTATAACTTATGCGACATTACGTTGCTCTCCAGCAGTTCATGGTTCTCCAGGGCAGCCACCAAGTCGTCATCATCGTTCCAATCTACATCCATGACATCGTAATTAATTTTTTTTATTTTATTATTATCAAAAACAACAAAAAAAGGATAAGGACCAGTGTGGCCGCGAAATTATCGTGAAAATATACCGTCCGACCCGCAGAAATATACCAAATTTGCCGTCAAATTTTAAAAATATACCGTACATATACTGACGAATTCAAGTTCCATTATACCACTAACCATACAGCATATAGATGTGCCAGTTCATACAACGAAAGTGTCACACACCGGCTTGCGCTATCCGTACCCCAGAGTGACGTCATCATGAGAGAGAGAGCGCAGAGAGAACATCTTTGCATGTGTTAGTACACACGCAATATGTTTCGACAAAAAGTATGTGATTGTATGTTTTTTCAGATTTTTTGAACTCTCTCAGGTCTGATCTGTTTTGCCACCAGCATGTTTTAGTGTATGGGTGCACATGCATTCTCACGTACTTTGCGTGTGTGTGTTTACTATTGCTGGCCGCTAGAACTGAAATTTGAGTTTGGTTCTTGTTTCGGGTCTTTTGATGGACTGACCTACCGCCACAAAATAAATGAAGAATGGGCAGGGGGTGGGGGTATGGTACACTAGGGCGCGGGAAACAAAATAAAAGCTGTTATTTGTTTGATTTATACCACAAAATATAAAATATTACAATAATATAATTGCACATTTATTTCCTTATCTTAAGCAGGTTGATTATAAATTATACAAATTATGCAAACGCCGTCGGTTCTCGACGTTTTTGTTTATTATAACTAAAATAATGATGTATCTAAATATACAATATAAGAAAATATATATATATACTTAAATAAATATGCATAAATATAAATGGAATTGGTTTTACATATATTTCAAATCAATTGTCAATCGCGCGCTTTCGGACGGGAATCTGCAAAGTACAAATTTAGATGCCGGTCGCACCTTGAATACTCTCATGGACAATACCCATAAATTTTCTAATTCAATTATAAAATATCTTATGTACATACATATGCACATAAATATTAAAGTTTATTACATTCGTATATTGCATGAGGGTTTTCAAAATTACTGCTGCCCGGTCAGCGTCGAGTCGGTGTGTCTCGAGAGAAAGAATACAAAAACAAAATATGAATTGTCTGCGTGCTGAAACCGTAGGGCAGCGTGGTCGCTGATGTCTTTGGCGCGGCACAGTGGGACTCAGCCGAAATAGTAAAAAAATTGTATGAGTTCTTTAGATAAATTCTAATAGAGAATTTTCCAATCGAATTTTCCCACTGTGCCGCTCCAAAGACATCGGCGATCCGCGACCACCGCTTCGACGGTGCTGAGGCTCGAGAGTCCAGAATTGCCGAACAGACGAAACCGATGGGCAGCGGGGTCGCGGTAGAGACGAAGTACAGGCGAAAAGGGAATTGAAACCCCGCGCGCTCCCTCGTGCCTTTTGGGTTCTAATGTTAGGACCCGCCATAGAACAGCTTTTTGGTCGCTCATGCAACATCTTGGTATTGTATAGTCTTTGGTATTGTATAGTCTTTGATATAAACAAAACGTCGAGAACCGACGGCGTTTGCATAATTTATAATCAACCTGCTTAAGATAAGGAAATAAATGTGCAATTATATTATTGTAATATTTTATATTTTGTGGTATAAATCAAACAAATAACAGCTTTTATTTTGTTTCCCGCGCCCTAGTGTACCATACCCCCACCCCCTGCCCATTCTTCATTTATTTTGTGGCGGTAGGTCAGTCCATCAAAAGACCCGAAACAAGAACCAAACTCAAATTTCAGTTCTAGCGGCCAGCAATAGTAAACACACACACGCAAAGTACGTGAGAATGCATGTGCACCCATACACTAAAACATGCTGGTGGCAAAACAGATCAGACCTGAGAGAGTTCAAAAAATCTGAAAAAACATACAATCACATACTTTTTGTCGAAACATATTACGTGTGTACTAACACATGCAAAGATGTTCTCTCTGCGCTCTCTCTCTCATGATGACGTCACTCTGGGGTACGGATAGCGCAAGCCGGTGTGTGACACTTTCGTTGTATGAACTGGCACATCTATATACTGTATGGTTAGTGATTATACATATTCCTCGATTTTGTTATTCCGTGGAATATTACTAGCTAGATAGAATATTTAGCCATGCCCACATAATTTTATCCGATTAATGAATCAATTTTCTACTTGACTGGCATATTAAATACTTGGCTTTGATTGTTTTTGCCTCAATTTTGGTTGCTCAACAACAATATAGCGACTCGTATGATGGAAACCCGAGCTTAGCCCACTTAAGCCCCCTATATTTAAATAGTTCAACTACTCAAGGTAAGTGGCGGAAAATATTAACAATTGTAAATTCTTATAGATCCATCCTATCCTTCCCTTTAACTTGCCAAACCCCACGAATCTTTCATCTGAACTGCGCTAAAATGATTACCCCCTTGGCTTATAATAGGTTAATAGTTCTCCGGCAACCATATTGCTTAATTTTTATGTTCCGTCAAATATTATGCGCTAGATAGAACATTTAGCCATGCCCACATAATTTTATCCGATTAATTAATCAATTTTCTACTTGACTGGCTTATTTTTAATACTTGCTTTTTTTGGATTTTGCTTAAAAAAAGGTTTTAGCGAAAAAGGTCAAACAAATTAAACGTAATAAAACGTAAGAGAAAAATCGTTCCAATTGTTAAATTTCTTTATTCCGTTGAATAATGCTGCCTAACTAAAACCATTAGCTCTGCCCACATAATTTTAGACCATTAATGAATAAATTTTCTACCTGATTGACTACTTTTAAGTACTCTCTTTTATTGTGTAGTGTATAAAACAAGGTTTAGACAAAAAAGGTCAACAAAAAAACAGTGGCAACGTAAGTGAGTATGAAATGTCACGTCAACCGGAGTTTGGGCTCAGCTATACCCTATTTCGTTGATATATATGAAGAAACTGGTTTTCCAAGGTGTTTTAAAACGTAATTAATATAGAAATTATCTCAGATTGTTTTGTTTTGGACATATTAATGCATATGATTAGGGTATTGTAAATATATCTCGATCCCGATACCCATTCTTGGTTTCTGTAAGAATAGCACTACCTTCAAAATGTCGTTGAAATACCTTTAAAACAGAGACTGACTAGTTTTGGCCTTTATTGGTGCCTTAGATGACAAACATTCTCTCAGTTCTATAATATCTATTTCCCAGGGTATGCAAAATGTTGCTCAATCCGCGCCATGTTGGGGAACAATGATGCTCGATTTCTCGACACATGAGTCTGGCCCATACAAATGAAATGTTGCCAGCAACATAAGACGAAAGAAAACATAAGTAAGTATGGATTGTAGGGACATTGTGGCGAAGCAAAATCCCATCGAGGAAATTCCAAAAAAAGTCCCATCAAACTTAAAGCTTTAATTCAAATTCTTAAAGATTCACCAATTTTGTGGAGAGTATTTAAAAGCCCGCTGGTCTACAATGGGTTAATCGTTCTCGGTCCACTATCGGCAATATCCGTTTTTTTCAACTATCGACACTGGATGCCTTGCAGCGCTAGTATCGAAGATAGAACTGCGCAAGCAGTTCTTTAACTGGCTCATAAAGTTCTTTTGAGAACTGAACAAATGCAGAGTTCCATTAACGGCCACAGCGGGAATTTCAAACATGGAGCCACTGAGCGGACAAATGCTTAATGGATACGAAAATTGGTTGTTGTAGCTTTTATAGTCGCTGAGAAATTGGCGTCAAACAAGACGGATGGACAGACATGGCCATGGACTAGACTATTGATGCTGATCAAGAATATATATACTTTATGGGGTCGGAACATCCACTTTCACCATAATTCTCTATGGTGATATAACTAGATTCTGTAGGAGCCACTCAGTCAGTGTTTATTTAAAACAAGTCAGTCAAGGCTCTGCTTCTTTTCCTGATTAAAATGGATATGGACAACGAATCCGCCCCACAGCATGTCACCCTGGAAATCAACCACGAGAACATGCCAAGATCTGATTCGCTAAAGAAAATCTCCACCCTGCCCTGCTGCCACTGCTGATGGGGGGGAAATGATAATTAGAGTAAGCTCGCATCGCACACATGCGTAAGTTTGATGGAAAAACGTACATAAATAGTAACAATCTCATTTAAAAATCTCCACCAAGAGCCTAATGAGCGTTGGGCGAGCGGAAGCGGGACTGAAGCGTTCGGCCCAGGCCAGGCGATGGCGAACGCACAGAAAAGAAATGTAATTATATCGCATTATTTGTCATTTCGAGCAAATGAATTGAAACAAATTTAGTGTGACAAATGAATTGTACACATAGTATGGATATGGTATACGACACGACTGTCTGTATATGGAGAGATTGGGCGGGGCCGCGGTTGTGGTTGTGGATGTGGATGGGGCTGCTAATGTTGCCATCCACTAGGCAGGGACGGAAATAAGTACACACGAGTACCCGTACCTTATAGACACACTCAATTTGCTGTCTCTCTAGTCAATTTCATTTCATTTGCATGAAGTTCTCTGTCTCTGTCTGTGTCTCTGCCTTTTTTCTCCTTCTCATGTACACTACATATAGTACATGGTCGTGTGCTATCTCTGTGATATCTGTAGGCCATCGGCATTATGCCTTTTGCCTAATTCAGCTTTATGAGCCATGTCTAATTACCAAATGAATTGTGCAATTATATGTATATTTTTGTTTATTAATTGGCTTCCTCACTAATGAGCCTAATGACCAGATATCTACAAGCATATATTATATGTACGTACTCGTGCAGTGTGGGTATACATAGTATGTATGGTATATCCAACCTACTCGAATATGCAGATTTGTTGAGTCAGAGATGATCTCTGCGACTGGCTGACTCGGACTGACATGGCCAACATAAATGTCATGAGTTATGAGGCATTGATGCTGATCGGCCAAGTTTGCGGTTGCAGCCAGACCAATAGCCTTTTTGGTGCAATCTGCCAAGTCGCCAGTCCCAAGTTATTTGCGGTTGGCAGCGTAAC